TCCCTTGTCCCGTTCAGCAGAGTGTTGACATTTTCTGCTGGCTGGGTACCTGTGAGGGTTCCTCAGCAGGCAGCCATTGGACAGTGAATGCCCCCCTCCTGCTCCCTGCCTCAGCTTTTAGAGCTGAGCTGACCTCCCATGGTCTGCAATGTCCTTGTGGTCAGTTGGGCTCAGCTGGCCTGCTTGGGTCCCCTCCCAGGCTCTTGCCCTCAGCTAAGGAATGTCCCAGGGTTGGTGCTGTGCTTGGCTGTGGCAGTTTGAGCCACATTAGAAATCCAAAATCCAATTTCCAGGCTTCCCCCCACCCCTTCTCACAATTTATCTCAACACCGGAGAGAAACTTTCAGGCCAGAGGCTTCTGTAGGGGAAGGGGAAGTATATACATTTATTTACACAAATAAATACACTGTACAAACTAAAGGCAACTAGATATATATTACATTTCTATCAGTCAGTCCTTTCAAGCCCCTCCTTTTAACTACTTTAGTCCAGGAGTAGCTTTTCAAGGCTGATACGTAACACAGTCTGCCGTGGAGTGTTCTGGGCTCCTGAACACTCCCCCCTCACCAAGTTCTAGTTGTTTGTTGCAGTCTCTCCTCCTCATGAAGTCCAAGAAGATAGCTTTGAGTCCTTGCTCTTCTGCTGCTGGGTGATTTCTCTCTCTCTGCTTCATACCTGGGTTCATGGGCTGCTGCAGTGTAGTTCAGCTTATCAAGCATCTGTGTCCTGGAATGTTGATTTCTCCTCAGGTTTTCACTTGTCTTGCGTTTTAGTTCACGGCAGAGACATCCTCTGGGCCCCTCTCTCTCTCTCTGGGGTCCGTCTCCAATTTTGCTTGGGATTCCTTTCCTGAGCCCCGGGCTGATTTATCAGCCCGTCCACTTGGCTCTGCTTTAATGCTGAGCCTCAAAATCCACCCCCCACCAACCTAAATGCAGTGGGGAGGAAAAGCCCCCTAACCTTGGCCACAGGCACTCGGTTCAGTTCTGCACTGTCCCAAGCGTCCCGCAGCTGCAGGGGGGGAAAGAAGGCCTGGCCTCCTCCCTCTTACCTCAGGGGCTGTGAAATTCTTCTTTCACAGCACACACTCCAAATGCTGCCTCTAACTCTAGCCAAAGGCTGAGCTGGGGGGCCGCAGGGCTCCCCTCTGTCCCCCAGAGGGGATGAGAGGGAGCCCAGCCACCCCCTGGCCTTGTCCACCTACCCGCAGCAGACACCAACAGCAAAACAACCCAGACAGAACTGCCAACAGCTTCCGGGGCTGTGATAGGTGATTTTGAGCAGAAGCGAACAACGAGGACGGTGATCAGCTCTCCAGCGAACTCTGCCCTGGCACCCAATCACCTCTGAGCCCCCCCAGCCTCTCAGGGGGCCAATTTCAAACTATGACAAGCTCTTCCCACAGTCGGGGCACTCGGGGCTTCCATTACCAGTGGGTCTGTTGGTGTCTGGTCAAGGCAGAGCTCTGGATGAAGCTCTTCCCACACTCCCCACATTTGTAGAGCCTCTCCCCAGTGTGGATGCGTCGGTGCTTGTGGAGGGTGGAGTGGTCACTGAAGCTCTTCCCACATTCCCTACATGTGTAGGGCCGTTCCCCAGTGTGGATGCGACGGTGGGTGCGGAGAGTGGAGCTCTGCCTGAAGCTCTTCCCACATTCCCTACACGTGTAGGGCCGTTCCCCGGTGTGGATGTGCTGGTGGCTGAGCAGCTTGGTGCTTGTGCTGAAGCTCTTCCCACATTCAAAGCACTTGTAGGGCCGTTCCCCAGTGTGGATGTGCTGGTGGTAGTGGAGGTTGGTGCTCTGGTTAAATGTCTTTCCACATTCCCAACACGTGTAGGGCCTTTCTCCACTGTGGATCACCTGGTGTCGGAGCAGGTGGGAGCTCCGTTTGAAGTTCTTCCCACACTCCCCACACGTGTAGGGCCGTTCCACAGTGTGGATGAGCTGGTGCCTGAGGAGGTCGGTGCTCCGGTTAAATGTCTTTCCACATTCCCCACACGTGTAGGGCTGTTCCCCACTGTGGATGCGACGGTGGGTGCGGAGGTTGGAGCTGTACCTGAAGCTCTTTCCACACTCCTCACACGTGTAGGGCCGTTCCCCACTGTGGATGTGCTGGTGACTGAGGAAGTTGTTGCTCCTGCTGAAGCTCTTCCCACATTCCAAGCACCTGAAGGGTTTCTCCCTGCTGGGAGGCTGCTCAGGGACCACCAGCTCACAGCTCC